GTTTTTTAGAACAGAGTTCTTTAAAAAATGACTAAAGGGGGACATCCATTTCTACTCGAAATACTCGTCGCAGTTTTTTACTTTGTCGAGGCTTCATCATATATTTGGAAAAGAAAGGAAAGAAGAGAAATCGAAAAGATTCGAGGGAAAGTAGGAAAATAGGGAAGAGAACATGTTTTTTTTCTCTCTTCTTTTTTTTTTTTTTGATAAAATTTTTATTCATCCGTACAGATTAATCCTTCGTGATGTTATGCGATAAACGTTTATGTCAGGACATTTTAATTATCCAATTGAAAATTAAGCCAAAAGAGAAGAGATGAAACTTCTTCTTAACTCTTTCTTAAATCATACCAAAAAACAACACTGAAACAAAATATCGAAAATTGCGGATTATCCTAATTTTATTGTTACGATACAATTCGATTCGAATTGAATACAATGTTTCTCGTGCGGAATCGTTCAAGTTCGCCCGATCCAGTTCAACGAAGCTCGACGACGCGACAACCCTGTGACGCCATCGACTGTTCGTCGCCGAGGATCGTCGAACCGAAACCGATGTCTCCAATGGAATCGATCGATCGAGTCTCCTCCTCTCTTTGTTGGTTCTCTGCATAACGCAGCGCTCGATGTCGTACGACTAGCTGTTAGCGATGACACGGCTTCTTTTTATAGCAAACGTAAACGTCGCACGTTTTCTCCTCGCGCTTCTGTGCGACGCACGTGCACTTCGCAACCGTCGTCTGCAACCGCTTCGCCTCGGGCCAACATATTTTTCCATCGCTTCGACGCGCGCGTGTATCTGGGCTATCTGGCGTGCATTGCTCGAAGAGAGAGAGAGAGAGAGAGAGCAGTTCTTCCTACTTCTCTCTATCTCTCTCTATTTCTCTTTTTTTTCAATGAATTTTCCGTGGAATTCGGTTGGGAAAGTCAGTCGGTGGGAATTTCTTTGAAAATTGTTTACCATTTTCTTTTAGATTTTTCTTCTAATATATTGTTACGTTATCGTTGATGTAGGAAAGAAAAGAAAAGAGTGGAAATTAATTTTGCGACCTAGGGAGAGGGGGGATTAATAGGATATTATTTCGAAAACGTTACATCGAGGTTTTACATATATATATATATATATTTTTTTTATTTTTCAACACGATTTCTCCCAGATTTTGCAACTTGATTTATAATTTTATACCGCTTCGTGGTTGATTAAATTTCTAGATTATCCTCTCCAGATGTTTCCAATTCCTGAAACTGTTTATTTACCGTTTCAAATTGTTTATCGTATCACAGAGATTGGATTGGTCTTCTATTAAATGGAAGATCGGTTTGCTCGAAACCATTAATTGGAACAGGAAGTGATCGTGAACGATTACGGATTTATAGATGTGGGTCAAGCGGCGGATGCAATGGATTAACGAGTGTTGTAAGAGATGAAAATCGAAGGAAACGCGGAATGAAATTTGAATGCTCGAATTTTTTATTCTCTCTCGCGAAAATATACAATGCCTTCATGCTTCATCGCAATTAATTACGACGCGCCCCCGTTGAGGAAACAGCTCAATGCTTTGCACGAGATTAGTTTTTTTACTTAGAAATTCTAATTGCACGTTTCATCCTCGTTTTTTTTAGATAAAATTAATACCGGAAACGTTTCTCCTCCTCTCTCCAACTACTACGTTCGACACTGTATTCCTTCATTCTCACGTCCTTCGTGAAAATTTCGATTCTTCGAAAAAAAAATCGGTAACAATCAATCAAGATCAATCAATCTTTATACAATTCCATTAATGATAAAATCTCGATAATGATATCAGGTGTAAATCTTTTCTTTTCTTTTTTTTTCCCCCATCACGAATGAGAATCCTCGATACGAAATATCGGTGAAAAAATCAATTTCGAATACGAGAGAGAGAGAGAGAATAATTCACGATGAGAAATGCAAGGAGAGAGAAAAAAGGACGAATAATAGGCGAGAGGAGGACACGCATCGAGCGCGATAAAAAAGAATCCTTGAGCGTGATGTTGGCCAACGCTTCGTATGGCTTTGGTTTTGTTACACAATCGCGTTGTTACCTGCACGCCCGTATGATGCCCGTTCGAGCGGAATACACGATCCACACACGGATAAATATTCGAGTCACGGGTCATCGTCGCTCATCGGGATCGATCGGGATCTTCTGCTGTCGAGATGTGTAAATAACAGTTTGAAATTAGCAAATTTATTCATCGCGAAGAACTTTCGTTTATGTAATGAAAGAAGGGATGGCAATTTATTTCTCGATAAGAAGGAAGATTTGCGTAAAATTGAAGAAAAAAAAGAGACCATCGATTTTCTCCACGATTTTACGATTTCGTTCCCTGTCGAATTTCAGTTATGAAATTTAAACTTCATACGATGATATCTTCTTCCCCGAATTTACGTGGAATTTCGTAGCACGTGATATAACACTTTCACGGTTTATTTAGTGGATATCTCGTTTTTCGGACGGGGCTGATAATAATTTCTTGGTAAATCCTGTCCTCTCCGCTCAATGCTGTTGGAAACACATCTATGAGAGCAATGATATCGTTTTTACTCGAATTATTTTTATTTTTGTATAAATAAAGGTCGGGAAAAGTTGTCGATAAAAGTTTCAATCGAGTTTCAATTATGGATAATGGAATTCTTTTTTCCTTCGAAGGCAGCTCGATTGATATCTTCTTCTCGTTAATCACCAGAGAATACTCGTTAATTGATTACTTCGCGAATTGTGTGTAGAGTATAAAGAATATAAAATAAAGTTGTAAAAAAAAAAAAAAAAAGAAAAAAGGCGCTGTTTACGCGCTACAATAACACGAATATTAAACGGAATAAAAAGGATGCTTCGCGTGATTAATCAATTTTCGCGCGAATTTGCTTTGAAATTGCTAATTGAATTATTGGATCGATAATTTCGAAATAGATACAGAATCGAAACAGAAAACTTACAAATTATCGATTAGTTCAATTCTATATTGATTTTAAAATTGTAATTTTACGAATTTTAACTATTATAGCTCGAAAAGCTTACTGTTATCAGCTTACTGGAAAACGTAGTCTATGGAAAAGGTTGGCGTGAAATTATCTACGGAACCACGTATATTTCAATCACATCTTTCTTCTCAACGATACCGTTTCACGAGGCGAGCAGCTTCTCCCGAGGGACGGCCAAGTATCGAATATTGCGAAATTCTTTGAAAACACGAAAGATGGTCCTTTCAACCGTCTTTAAAAGCGTTTATGCACCGACTCGATTACACCGACCCCCTTTTTCCCGCCGCTTCTTCGTGCACTTTCCCAGAGAAACAAAAAAAAAAAAAAGTAATATCTCTTTTCCTTTCTACCAGCTTTCACATTTTATCAAACCGAGATCCAATTTATTCGACGACTCGTCTTTGTTCACCTTCGTTCGATGCAAAACGGCAAAGAATTTAGAGAAAAAAATCTCTTAAATGGAAGGAACAATTTTCTGGGATTCACGATTTTCACGAGCGAATGGAATTTCAACGTTCGTACGCGAAATGGGGCGTAAGGCGGCGTTTCAGGGTCGGCCTACGTTGCGAAGGATGACCACTGTGCAATGCTGGTCGATAACGATGATTATTGGCCGGACTTCGTTGACCCCCTTCGCGTTCCCGAGCCTCGCCCAACTTTAAGCGAATCGAGCCTTCTCTCCTTCGCCCAAAAATATCCACCACCAAGTTCAACCACGTAATCGTCAACCTCTTATCGTGATTAAATGCGCGGACAATGAGCGTTTCGGTTAATTAATTCGGGTAGCCACTCCTCCCTTTGACGCGAGAACCAAATTTCCCGTGTTAAACCCTCTCCACTCGGGACACTTTTTACACACGATATAACTTAAAACTTTTATATCTAAACCTACCAACGCGCGGTCAAATGACCGTTTTTGAAATTTCCTTTAGAATTTCTTGCGTACAATGTTACTGTATCGCCATATGACTTTACAGTAGCACAAAATTCGGTATAGATATAACCGATCACACATTATTGTAACACCAGAAAAATATTTTGTTTAATAATCCAATTAGCTAAAATCTTTCTATGTTAAGATACAAATGTTTTTCTGCAGCGGTCATTTTTGACCGCTCATGGCAGGAATACATGAAATGTCGGTAGTGTTTAGTGTTAATATTTTACGTATAAAGAAAGAAAATTTGTCGGATATAAATTTGTCTGTATTCATAGTTGTTTTGTGCGACATTTTAATAATAATGTCAATACCTTCGATTTTGCAAAACTTACGTCCGATGGAATTTTGAGAAACGGGTAAACAGGGAAAGATATCCGTGGAAGAATTTGCGATTAATTTTACTGATCTGTTCGGTTCTTTTTCAAATTTGGATGGCCAGAGTCGATTCGAATGATTATCGAATCTTGGATGGGCGAATAAACAGTGGAAGAATTTATCATCCTCGGTATCAGAAAATTTGCAAACCCAGTAAGCAGCGCCACGGTTGGATGATGTATACGTGTATCGAGATAAATCGTCGTTGGATTACGCGACGTGAATATTCCTCGCGTGTGTTTCGTTTCAGGAGCAGGATTGAAAATATCAGTGTGTTGAAAACGTTTTGGGATGCGTTGAAGGGCGATTTTTTGGGGGGGGGGGAGGGAAGGGTGTGGGGATGCTTGAATATTTTAGTATACAATAAGAAGCGCGAAGAAGCGTCTCGAGTGGGTGGTAAAGTGGCTTATCTTATTGTTAGGAGAAAGGTGTACCCGATACGATGAAAGCGCACTCGTTCAACAACAACCCGTGTTCAATATTAAAAATTTGTCTCGGCGGCAGAGACAACTCTTCCTTAATTCCTCCTTTATCTTATTCCGCCTCGAAATAATTTCTATACGCCCATCCCTCTTAATAAATAGTTGGAGGAGAAATATTTTTCAATTTTAAAATAATTTAAATTTTCAAATACTCGAAGTACTGATTATTGATTTTCTCTTCTATTTATTGTTGCAGGCCAAACAACGTGCCTCCGTAAAATGGCTCTTGTCGAAGGCGTACAACAACCGAGTGCCAGAAAACCTTCGTGAGCCGTATTATGTCGATAATGAGGTACGTAAATCCTGACGATTTCACCGTGACACGAGATATTATCGTTACGCGATAACAATCGTTCAAAAAAAAAAAAAAAAAAACGAACTCGTTCCGCCTAAAATCTAATTCACCAAATCATTGTCATTTGTATTTTCTTGAAGTTATCGAAAATCCTCTTTAACGAGGATTCTTCGATGACGAGAGAGAGAGAGAGGGTCCTCCCTCCATTTTTCTCGTTGTCCTACTGCCTTTTGCCGCGGCACGCATCGTTGTTGTTTTTTTTTTTCCTCTCTCGCCATTGGCAACGGTGAAAAGCGGCCGCATAGCGAAAGGTAGACAAAGTTTGCTCGGCCGTTTTCTCGGTAGAGGTTAATAAAGTTCCTTGAAAAGAATTCTCTCGCCGAAATAACGAGAAACTTTCTCGGGAATGGCACGGATATCTTTCGTCGAGACGAAAGATCGTTCATCTTTTCGCCACGACGAGGAGATTAGAGAGGAAATCTCGTCTCCGCGAGACGATTCTTGCTGCCATCTTTAATCGAAAAAACCTTTTGATACAATAATTTCTTCGTGCTCGAAGTCGTTTGTCATCGATCCTTGCTTTCAATTAATCGATCGAAGGGAAGAAAAAGTGATTGCTCCACTTTTATCCCAATTAAACAGAAGACGATATATCTCGGGTTGTTGATTTCCTACTTTGTTACTTTTCTTATCGTCGTAGCAATTTTTAAAATTGTCCAATCGTCGGCCAATTTCTTTTTAAATAATTCATCCCCGTAACAATATCCTTCCAATTTTAGAAAAAAAAAAAAAAAGAACAACCCGTGTAAAAATAAGGGAGAAAGAGAAGAAAAGAAGAAACTCGTATCGATTATTGCACCATTAGCTCGCAACCGCATCCTACGTTCGAACGTGCAGGCTGAAATGCGTGAAAGCCTCTGCTGATGGTGGTGGTCGTGTGGTTGTGTGGTTGATCCAGTTAAGCCAATCGAATTACTTTACGATGGTTCGCGTACGACCTCTTTCTCGCCGCTCAGTAAATCATGGAACTGCCGTGACGAACGTTCCCTTTACTTTCATTCCTTCCTTCCTCGCCGCCAGGGATGCATTTAATCGAGGACCATCATCCTCCTCCCTTCGCGAGGCGGAACCGCTCCTCCGCCACCAGGCGTCGCCGATTCCTCCTTTCGACGCGGTCCAAATTCACGGCCAAGAAGGGGTTCAAGGCGCACCACCGATGCCGCCAGGTGAGCAGCCCATCCACCCGTTCCTCTTTCTAGAAAACTTTGCTAGAAGAACTTTTTTGCCAGCTTTACACTTTTTACACTAAAGTTAATCGATATACATTCGAGAATTAATGGAATCCTTCAAGATGAATTGCACGAGTGGTTGTTGGTCGGTCTGATCGCGAAACAAAAGAGGTTGGGACGGAAGAAAAAAATTGATAAGGAAGGGAAAGAATGGGGAAGGGAGGATCGATTATCGGAATAGGTGAAGCCCTGGCGAAGCACAGGTGAAGAAAGCCCACGAGACGAGTAATAATGGAGGCTGGCTCGAGACGACGAGCCATTGTTTTCTTCGCCGAGAGTCGTAATCATCCTTAGGCTTTTACACCTTTGACTTTGCTGAGGGGAAAGTCTCGACTCGGCCACTGAGATTATACACGAAGGAAAGTTCAAGTGTGAAAAGGACTATTCAGGAGGAGGAGAAGGAGACGGTTTACGAGGAAGAGGATTTGTTGCCGGTTCAATCAGCCGAGATCATCGTGGCTTTTCACACCGAGAATATATCTATTGTCGGTGGATTTATTATTCTTCTGGAACAAAGGGTATCGAATGTGTTCGGTCTCGTTTAAAAATTGAAAGCCTTGATACTTGTGCTCTTTACCCAAATTAATATTAACTCCAAAGAAACTCGAATCGTTGCGATAGGTAGGAAACTGGAGAGAGGAAAAAAAAAAAAAGAAATGGAAATTAATTATATCTAATTAATCAAAATCTTGGAATTAAAAAAAATGAACGATAAATAATTTTTTGAAAGTTATTTATAATAATAATAATAATAAGATGTTTCTTCGTTATATTAATTTTGTTAATCGGGTTAACTGTTTCGAACGATTCGCCTTCAACTTGTGAGAAAAATCGGATGGAATGGTGAATTTACGTAATTTACGTCCCTTTCTTTGCTTGAAATATCTTGTATTATATATTAACATTGATACAATGTTCAGAAATATTTTCTTCGTTTATTATTCTTAAACGAGATGTTTGCTCTCCCTCTGTGACTGTAATTGGATGGAAATTTAACGTGTTCTCGTACAATATTTATAATTCGTTTCTTCTTCGTTTTCATTCGCCATAGAGAGTCTCTTTGTTCGAGAAATCGAATGTGATTTCGAGTCGCAATCGGTGGTGAAGGTTAATTGGATATAATAGAGTGGAATGCGAGAGTATAAACGAACAAGCAAACATTTTTTCCCTTGGAAATTTCTGAATATTTTCTTAACTTTTTTAACGCTACAAAGACTTTGTTTATTTTCCACTTTATCGTTAATCCGTGGAAAACGTGGTTTATCGTATCGTACAAATTCATTCAAATTCTTATGAATGGATATAACAATAATTGTTGTTGGATGTGAAATTGTTTACATAAGAATGCTCAAAGTGATTGCATAAGTTGGAACAATTGGCAAATGTGTAATATAATAACATCTCTCGCGCTCGATACTTTCTATATTTTATCACTTCCTCTTTTCAACAATTTTTTTTTTTTAACCGTGGACAATTCTTCTTCGTTTTATTAACACAGGGCTTCGACTATTTAAATATGACCACGCATCGTAAATCAATGGCCACGATTACCTTTCTGTTAAATTACATTACATCGTTTTTTTCCCTTGTGAACAACAACGTGCGAAATAGAAATTATTGTTAGCTTTTTCCTTCCAAAAACTAATACTTATTTAAGATTTCTCGAATTTTAATTTAAACGAGAGAAGTGGCCCGAAAACGCAAAACTAATAATATAAGTCGATACGAATTAACTTTTCCGTATTCTATATATCCGAATATGGAGGTTCGAGCAAATTGGAAGAACGTCACGTTCCTGTCGTAAAGTTAACTCGATAACTCCAATGAACGACGAAACATCAACTTGGTCCCAATTTCTTTCGAGACGACGAGTTTCTCTCGACATTTTTTTTTTTTGCCTTAGATCGCGTTCTCAGACAATACGCGTTTAAGATCTAACATTTCCAACATCTTAATCAATAGTATATAGTTCGTTAATTATTAGCTCGACGTGGTTTTATGCGTCACGATGTATCGTGCAACAAGAAAAGATTATTATTGTCGAAAATTGTCAATACACAGTCATCGATATTGTTATCTGAGATCGCCCTATGACTCAGACCCAACTTAAACGAATAATAGCGTTTCACGACTAACTCCTTTAGGATAAAAAATCCCGAGTAGTAAATTCAGCATCACACTGTGGACGAAAGTTTCCATAATTCTTTTTTTAAATTTTCTTAACGTTCACAATCGATTCATTCGACAACAATCATGTGATTACATTATAGACCAAAAAGATGAATGAATTTTTATTTGAAATCTCAAAACAGATCGATAACATTACAAGAAGAAATAAAATGATCTCGACGAAGATCCTATCTCACTGTACTGCGAAAAGATGTGAAATTCAGAAAAAGGTCACAAATAATCGATCAGTTTCTACTACTAAACGGATTATCGAGATTCTAATTGGAGGAAACGCTCGATGTAGATGAATACAAGTTCGTTCCACCGAAGCTTTCTTCGATATCTCTGCGGCGATCGGTCGGCGACAATGGCCGACCAGTGTATTTCCGTTACCACGGTGCATCGTCTCGAGTTCGTCGCGTTTCCGCGCGCCACGCCGGAAATTACAGAATACTAATATTTGCTGCCCGCGTCGGCCGGATATTCTTATGCGGTTGCGGCCAACCTATGCGCCAGGATATTGTGTTTCAAACGGTCGCTACGCTCTTTTGACACACATCTGATTTCTTTGGGGCAACTATTTTTATCTCTCTCTCTCTCTCTCTTCTTTTTTTAATTAGCGAGTTTTATTCAATTTGAAACAATTATGTATTCAACTGCGTTTCGAAGGCGTAGTGGTGGTTCCTTTATATTAAAAATAATTTCGTTTTAACGTTATATTTTACACGAGACTGTCTGCATCGTGGTTGGCTATTATTACGTTGATACGATGGAATTGCAGCCAGGGTAATACCAGAACCGATAGTTGGGAACTTTGTACGGTTTCTTGAAAATTTACGTTTACACGAACGTTATGATAAAACAAACGCATTCTCTCGTCGGTGTCGATCTTTTTTCCGTAATAACGAGAGAATTAAACGCATTACTCGATCAAGGAAGCATCAAGGAGTTTTCTATAAAAAAGGAAAAATCCATTTTTATATTTGTCTGTTTAAGAATCAAGAACACCTGAAGCCGCAGATCGTCCACGCACTCTCCAACGCAGAGTTGTACTGTTTGGCGCTGGCGAACATCTACTCGGATCCAAATTATCACAATCAGAATCATTGCGGCATCCTTCAAGCCCTGGCCAGAAAAGGTGTTTACCTCGCGGAGCCGAACAACACCCAACTCACCGAAACGATCCTCATTCAAAATTCGCCACTCAAGATGGTAAGGAAAGATTGCAAAAAAAAAAAAAAAGTCACCCCGTTTCGATGGAATCCAACGTCTGCGTTTCAGTCTGCGCATATGGCTGTGATAGAGGGCCTGATGGTCTTGTACGCGAAGGAAGTGGTGACCGGGGATCGAGTGGTCTCCGCGATCCGCCGTTTCGATCCCCAGGCGGAAGTGGAGGTCCCAGGGGACCACGAGAAGGGCCTCCTCCTCTGGATCAGTCACGCGTCGCACGCGCTCATCGCCAAGATCCAGGCGGAGGAAGGTGGCGGTGATAAAACGCGACTGCCAGAGCTGCCTGCTGCCAAGGATTTCCAGTCGTTGTGCGACGGGGTGGGCCTGGCCGCGGTCGTCGCCTTCTACTGCCCGGGCGAGCTCAACTGGATGGACATCAGGGTGTCGAAGAGACCCTCGGTCGCGGACGCGCTGCACAATTTGTCGCTGGTCCACGCCTTTTGCAACAGATGCTTACCCTATTCCATTTTTCACATGCAACCCGAGGACGTCACGTACATGAGGGGGTAAGAGTTTTCTCTTTTCTCTCCAACTCGATCAATTCTTTATTTATCTTCCAATCGAAGGAAACTGTCGATTCTCGAACGAAAGAAGGGTCTTTTATGGATGACGTAACGAATAAGAATAAGAATTCATAAGTAAATGAAAGAGGCTATAGAGAGCATCCTTCTTGCGTTCAATTTAATTTCGTTGCGTTGTAAAATTTAAAATCCATATCTCTGTGCCAGGTCTATGAAGCAAAATTTAGTGGTTTTCCTGGCGGACATGTACAACGTGTTGGAGATCCATCCTGCGAAGTGTGTACGTTATCCGGGCGAGGAGAGGGCGATGCAGTTCTTAGATGGTACGTAAGGTATTAGAACGGCTGAATGGCGATTCCCGGTTAAAAAGCATCGGAGAGATTTGTTTCGACACCTATATATATATGAACGCAAACTTCCTTTGATTTGAGAGGAAGGGCTGATGAATTTTTGATGGTATCGGATTAAATGTGATTGGTGAAGGCTGCGTACATTCTGTATTGGACTTACCCGTTCTATAATTTATTTTATTATACTTTTTTTCCATGGAATCCCGTTTCTGTTGCGAGCAATCTACGCATTTTTTTTTTTTTGCAACACAATTTGGACACAATTTTTTGCGAGAGAATTTTTTTATAGACTGTGGAAGATCTTTCTTCTCTCTCGCCATTTTCACGAGAAACAAACGAGATAGAAGAGTATTGCTCGCGGTTGGAACGGTGGTCACGCTTTTTATCAGTGTCAGTACACACACTCGTTCCCAGTCTCGAGACCCAGGTCCTTAGCAGCGACTAATAAACGCATCTTTCTTATACGGATATATAATAAACGACGATCGATTCCAAAGAAAAAAGAAAAAAAAAAAAAAAGAAAAAATGAAGAAAAAAGAAATAACAAAACAACAACGACGATCCTCTACACAGTAATTGTATCACTTAATGTTAAAACTGTAATATTTCTATATATTTCTATGGCGTAACCTTCTTGATGCTTGACAACAACGCTATCCTCGCCTTCTTCTTTCGTCAACTTCCGGTTGCCAATGAACGAATACGGTGCGGTGACGGGTGCAGCCTGCCCGCGCAATAGTCATGGCGTAGCTCATAAAAGAAGTCTGCCACAGTCTATAGCTCCGATACCTGATCTGAGAAGCAACCTCTCCGTATCCGCGCCAGGCTTCACAGGTACCCACACGTTACAAAACAAACCAAAAAAAAAAATACATGAAACTAGGTGGTCTTCTCTTCTGTGAAATTTCGCGTTTTTTTCCTCGAATTCAAACGATTCAAAATCACGAGAAAGATCATCGAATGCCATTGTGATGATAATAAAATATACGAAAAGTGTCTTTAGAGGTCTGTTGAGGAATCAACAGTTTGCCAAGTCGTTTGTCGTTTGTTCCTTGATGGTTTTTTCGTTCTTTTCTCTCTTTCTCTCTCTCTCTCTCTCTCTTCTTTT